GAGAGAGAGAGAGAGAGAGAGAGGGAGAGGGAGAGGGAGAGAGAGAGAGGGAGAGAGAGAGAGAGAGAGAGAGAGAGAGGAGGAGAGAGAGAGAGATAGGGGGGGGGGAAGTAGGGAGGGACTGAGTAGGGCGTGAGGGAGGGAGGGAGGGAAGGAGGGAGGGAGAATATTAACATTAAAGGTAACAGGGAGAGATGGGACCAAGAGAGAACAGTATAAATACTTGAAGTAGTTAGCATGATATGCTTCAACGCACAACCCAAAACTGAGAGGTGGGATCAGGAAAGAACAATGTAACGATCAACATGATGGGCTTCAAGGCCCCATTACTATAATAATTATAGTTATTATTATTAAATGTGTCATGTCGCTCACAATATTAAAAGTGATCTAAAGCACGCCAATATTGATATTTCTGACTGTTTTGAACTGGCTCTGGACAAGAAAGAATGGCTGATGCTTGTGGAAAAATGTGCTGCGCTTGCGTAGTTGTTCTTACTGCGATACGTTCTAACAATAATGAGATGCCTTTTGTCGGCTCTTCTGCCTGGATTTCGTTGACAGATGCGTTAAGCCCATGGATCCTTCCATGAGTGACATGCGAACTGTAACTATTATTATTATTATTATTATTATGTCGCTCACATGTATAAAAGGAGGCACCATCGCCTGTTTGTGCAAATTCAACGACAAGCCTGGCTTGGTGCTGCCCAGGCCCACATTGGGTAGTTGGACCCAGCACAGCGCAAGGTCATGCAGATGATTGGACCCACCACCGTCCTCTAGACTAGAGTCTGCGGGCCAGACGGACAGTCGCAGGGCTGTCCTCTCTTTAATACAAGGTAGTTAAGCAGCAATGGCCCACCTCGTCTGCCACGCATGCTCCTTCCACCCAAGCCACGAAGAACGAATATTAAAATTTTCGCTGCCAGGGCGTCCTCGAGGGTAGGAGGACAGAGTCTCTCAAAGAGCCCTGCAGTGGAAGTCCACGGCGGAAAGCCAAAGAAGCCAGAAGGACTGGCTGTGGGCCACAGACGGCAACTAAGATCAACTAAGAACCATGACGCTGTACAAACGCCTTACACCTTAATTTGATTTTCTACTTTATGATGCTACTTTAGTAGTACACGTACTACATTCCGCTCCTCCCTCAACCCGCACTCATCCCTCACTGACACTGGTCGGACTAGCTGGACTCGCCTCACCTGCACCTTGCTTTTGCATGGCTTACCCCTTTTGTCTGTTTGTCCTAGTCTTCTGTCCCACTTTAATGTTACCCCTCATCATCAGTAGTCCATGTTTTTGGCCATCAGAGACGGATAGATTGCGTTGGATGCGTATTTTAGTCTGGACATAATCATTGCATGATACAATAACTTTTTCGAGGAGACTGTCAAGCTTTGATGTGAGCGCCATAGCGCACTAATCGAGCGTCGAATAGGGTCCAGCGGATAATGCCGGCATTATATTCGGCATTATGACACTATCCGAGCATTATGGAGCATTAGATTGGAACAAAACGAGCATTCTGTAAGGTTTGAGCGGCATCACGAGTTGCATAGTCGTGGTCACCCCATGTGCAGTATGTCTGCAAGCGCACAAACTCCATCCTTGGGGCTCTTCAAGCCCACTGTAGACATCTTCCTCTTTCTTGCAAACGCTTGTTTTATCGTTGTTATATATTGCCCTTACTTGACTACTGTGATACTGCTTGGTCTGGCATAACTACTACTGTATTGAACAAGCTAGAAACTAGAAACCCATAACCGCATGCTCCTTAAAATCCTATTTAGCAAAGATCGTCGCTTTCCCTCCGCTAGCCTTTACGAAATTGCCAAGATCAGTCCCCTTTCCACTCGACATCAGTACCACCTCTGTGTTCTCATACATAAAATATTACTAAATAAAATACCCTTGCATATGCAGGCTTATAATTGGTTCTCCGAAACACGGAATACCCGGAACTCATTCAGTCTCCCACGCGCTGCCTCCACCCTATTCACTAGATCCCCGATCTTTGCTGGCTACGTGTTTTGGGCAACATTACCAACGCAGGCCAAGACCAGCACGTCGATGGATAATTTTGTTGCTAAAATCTCTGCTCAAGTATAGGTTTCATGTATTTGCATGACATCCTGCTGGTTTGTCTCCTCCTTTGCCTTTTATTTGTATTCTTTTATCTGTGTTACTGCTGTGGTTGGCTTTCACCCTTGTCTCAGTTTTACTGGCCGTCATCATGATGTGCCATGAGATAATGATATAAATACAAATAGTGGATAATCATGATCGGGAAATCCCTGATTTTTCGCAACAATCGGCTACATGAAGTCATGACTCATGAGATCCGACCCTCATCTGTGCAGCTGGAAGTGGAACGCATTGTACGGGTACATGACTTTGTGGACACGTAACACTTTTACTTCAGCACGAGAGGAGAAAGTGAGCCCTTGCCTTGGGGGGGGGGGGGGAGGGGGCTGCTTACCAAGAGTAGATCTACTCTTGGCCTTACTTACAACATTTGTAGCTCAGGCTCTCCCCGCCCCGTGCGCGCTCGAGTGCTCAAAAAAGGACTCGAGCCCCGCAATCTACCCTTGGCACCAGGGAGTAGTAAAAATACGCCCGACTGGTGCCGTTGGATAAGGACCCCGGGGTCCGTCCTATCGGAATCGGCGAGGTGCTACGGCGTATACTGAGCAAAAGTATCCTTTCCATCATCCGGCGGGATATCCAGAAAGCGGCCGGTAGCATGCAGTTGTGTGTTGGCCAAGACTGCGGCATTGAGGCGGCCATCCATGCCATGACTTCCATCTATGATTCTCCCGACTCCCAAGGTGTTCTGATGGCAGACGCAGCAAACGCCTTCAACAACCTCAACCGCAACGTTTGCGTCCGCAATGTTCGTCACCTTTGCCCAGCCTTGGCTACCACTGTCATCAACACTTCCAGGATTGCAAGCAATCTGTATGTTGACGGTGAATGCCTGCAATCCTGCGAGGGAACGACCCAATTGCCATGCCTCTATATGCAATTGGTGTAGTTCCTCTCATCCGCTCTATCACCACAGAGGGTGCGTGTCAGTTATGGTTTGCTGATGACTCGTCTGCTGGTGGGAAGCTCGTGAAACTACGCCTCTGGCGGGATGCCTTGCGCTCAAGAGGTCCGTTGTATGGGTATTTCCTGAATGCTGAGAAATCCGTCCTTGTGAAAGCCGGAGCACTACGAGGAGGCAGTGCGGATCTTCGCTGGCACTGGGGTCCAGATCACTGCTGAAGGCCACCGTTACCTCGGCTCTGCAATTGGCACAGACCAGTTCAACCAGTCCTGTGTGTGAAGCGAAAGTGGCCGCTTGGGAGCGAGAGGTGACCACACTCTCTATGTTTGCACGCTCTGAGCCTCAGAGTGCGTACTCAGCCTTCACTCAAGGCTTGCAAAGCAAATGGCAGTTTCTGTGTCGTGTACTGCAAGCAGCCGCTCCAGCGTTGGCACCCCTTGAGGGCTTGATTCACAACAACCTGATACCTCAGCTTTGTGACAGGCCAGTCAGCCCAGAGGAGCTTCAGCTGATGGCGTTGCCCTGCAGAGAAGGTGGTCTCGGCATCCGCAACCCGACATCCCTTGGTCATCAATTCCGCGCCTCTGTGGCCATCACGGAATCTCTCGTGGGAAACATCCTGCGCCATGAGTTCGACCTGGGCAATGCGCCGGACCTCATTGTGGAAGAAAAGAAGAAGGTTCGATTGAGTGCCCGGCAGAAGATCGGCAGACGATCGCCGGAGAAGCTCGGTCTTTCGTCTTGGAGAACCCCAGCATGGACCGTATGGTGAAGCTTGCGAGTGAGAAAGGTGCATCCTCATGGCTCTCGTGTCGGCCATTGAAGCGACATGGATTTACCCTCACCAAGGGTGAGATCCGTGACGGGATTCACCTGCGGTATGGCTGGTTGCCGCAGCGCCTGCCCTCCACCTGCAGTTGTGGTGCCACATTTACTGTGGGCCATGCCCTGTCGTGTCCGACTGGAGGCTTCCCCTCCATTAGACACCAGTTCAAACAAGCCTGCCTCCCGTTCTGTCTTGCTAGCAGTAGCACCCACTACTGAACACTACAGGAATCTTTGACGTTTGCGGTACTCCACAGTACCAGTCATGTGCTGTTTACCGTCTCCCCGTTGTTGTATTCTAACGTTAACGTTATTCATTGACTGAGCGTTCTTTGCTTTGTACTACACCCTGCTATCGTGTTAGGCTATTTCCTACAATATTTTACTGTTTCCATTCGCTTCCATGTAATTGGGCGACACCGCCCGTTTGGTTCTGCGAATTCAAATAAAAATGTACCTACCTACCTAGACACAACGAGGTCCGCGACATCTCTGCTAACTTGCTGAAGCGTGTGGCCCATAGCGTTGCAGTGGAACCGCATCTGCAACAGGTGACCGGAGAGCAGTTTCGCTATCGGACGGCCATCCGCACCGATCAAGCACGTCTGGATGTCGCTGCAAGTGGCCTATGGGGTGGCCGGTTTGAGCGCACCTACATCGATGTGCGAGTTTTTAACCCACATGCGCCATCAAACCGTGCCACCTTCCTGCTACACAAAGCAACTGTACGGGTTACGGCACAGAGGTTGAAAATACAGGGAAGAGGCACACACCAGTGAATCTGATGTTTGGGAGAGACACCCATACCACTGCTATACAAATGGAAAGTCACTGGGTGTACAGCTCAAGCTTT